AGGAACCCTGCTCATTCACTTTAAAAAGCATAGTGAAATGATACAGTAAGGCACCATGTTACATTGACTTCAGCAAGGAGGGAGGAATCAATAAGCTGAGAGGTGAGACACAGCAAGAGTTCTTGTCAATGGAAAACTGTCTGCCTTGCAGCTCCATCTTTATAGTTTCTTGTTATGCCTCAGCTGAGCCAGAACTTTAGCAGAAGAGGTACTAAATAGCTCCATTATCATGAGAACACAAGGGCACTTATAAAGAGGCCCTTAGTCCCAAGACACATATATTTAAAACATGAGGATAATAAAAATGTTGTAGCGGAAGATGTGTACATTCTCAGGGACTATATAAATCTTCAGAAGATTCATGAAAATGTATGGGAGATTATGGAGACAATAATTAGGAACCCTGCCCTGCATCCAAACCACCCTGTAGATTTTTTGGATGCCTCTATGGAGATATTTCGCTATGCTAATATAAGATGCAATATACAGTTACAGGCCTCTTTCCTCAGGTCCAGCCTTCAAAATGGGAATAAGAATAGCAGTTCTTTGCCTTCATACTCCAGTTTCTATCATGAAAACTTTGGGTAGGGATGAACTATGACTTCTGAGTTTCTTCTTTTGATTGGGTTAATATATTCCTCAAACCAGTGCTTATCAAATGCATATATCATACTAAGTCAAAAAGAATTACTCTAAGCTGTGAATATAATTTCTTCTGACACTTGGTCCTGACAACTTTGCTTCATCTTCAGAAACTGATGAATCAAACTGCTTTTTGCAATGATTAGCCATTAGTTCACCTTCACTAGTATTATCTACTCTAACTGGCAGAAGCTCTCTAGAGTCTGCTGACTGCTTCCTGAAATCGATTATCTTGTCTATGAGAGATGAAAGTTATGATCATATTCATGAGCAGATTACAGTCATGTTCCAACCCTATTCACATTTTGCACTGACCCATTTAAATCAATGAAGCTTAAGTTATAAAATAGGTCAGGGAAGGGGAACCTGTAGTTTCCCTGATATTTGCTGAACTGAAGTTTCCAGCAACTCCAGCCAATGTTGGAGAAGTTCAGGTAAGGAATGCTGAGAGTTCTAGTTTAGCAACACCTAGAGGGTAATAGTTCTTCTCCATATTTATCTAATGGTAAAAGATAAAGGTTCCCTCAAGCTGAGCTCAAATCCTTGTGATTATATGGATGCAACCATGTAGTGTCCTTCGCTGCAATATGAAACTGATTTGCTACTGCTGTCCTCTGGGACTTTTTTGCCTAGTCTACCACCCTGAGCTTTCCTAGTGGTCTCTCACCAATGTGCTTTTGTCTCTCACCAAAGTAGGCCTGACTCTACTTAGCTTACTAAGTAGACAATGTCAATAAAAACAGTCCACAACATCAGTTGCATGTTGCCTTGCCCAACTCTGATTGCTAACAAGGCTAGGAATGGCAATGAACAGCACAATTATATTAAGTCACACACTCAGTTTATCTAAATAAGAGCAGCAATATAGACACAGCAGCTTGGTGACTCTTCAAAGTCTAGATGAATCTTGAATAGGATCACCCTTCAAATATGTGGACCAGTTCCCAGAATTTCCCTGTACTATGCTCAGGTTACGGAAGGCTGCTTTAACCCTATGAAGTTAGGGTTTCTCAAGACAGAATTGTGAAAATGTATTTGTACTTCTTTAATGACAAATCTCAGAACACTCATAACAAGATCACAATGCATAATTTATTTTCACTGTTTCCTATCATTCATACTATACAGTGTTAAGATTGTTTAGAATCATAGAACGTAGTAACAGGAAAAACTGTGTTATGTATTTGTAACAAAAGAACTGGTTTAATTACCACTTTTAAAATGATTTCCAGTGATACTCAATGGAAGTTAAATTAATCCAAAGAAATACTATGTACAGAAAATTAACACAGGGCAAGGATGCATTCTCTTAATATGCTAATGGAGGCTAAGAGTTATATAGTAGGAATAATAGGACTAAAATATGAAGGTGCAATTCTAAACATTATTAATTAGTAGTCCAGTACTACTAGTGACAGTTCAAGGTTGATGAATAAACTTTACACAGAAACAAAACAAAAATCCTCAGATAACTGGGATTCTGATTTCACAGGAATACAGTATTTTAATTGGTAATTGAATTTTGCTGGCATACCCACTTAAAAAGAAGTTCTCATTGCTTTTATATACTCAGATCATCAAACCAAATCAAATCCCATTATTATATTTAATAGTTAAAAAAACAGTTACAAGCACACTCGCTCAGTTCTTAAAGAATATGTATTAATTCTGCAACAAGCACAGAAGAAACACTTCGACTTTTGTAGTTATTTGTTTATAAAGGGTGTTTATAGCAGCTTTCCAAATAATTTCCTCTTTCATGCCTTCACCTGTTCTTTAATTAATTTTTTTTACTACTTAAGACATACCAATACATTTCTGTTGGATATTCTGTCCTTATTCTCCTACTGTTTATAATGTTGCAACTTGTACAGTATCTTATACACACAATAGATTCCAATCTTAAGTAGTTTGTCAATTATCCTAAATCAGGGATGAATAATTTGAAGGACTGAGTGCTGAATGATATGTCAAAGGTTGCAGTTGGACAAATGGAGGGGACCAGGACAAATGTTTAAAAAGGAAATCCTTTTAACATAAACAAAGCTTTTAACAAAACTATGAAAAAACTGTAAAATAATCCCCCAAAGACAGCCAGTTTGATATTGTGGTTAAGATACCAGGCTAGAAACTGGGAGATTGTGAGTTCTAGTCCTGCCTGGCGCACAAAGCTAGCTGGATGACCTTGGGCCAGTCACTCTCTTTCACCCCTAGGAAGGAGGCAATGGCAAACCACTTCTGGAAAACCTTGCCAAGAACATTGCAGGGACTAGTCCAGGTAGTAGCCAGAGTCAAGACTGACTCAAAGGGACCACATAAATAAATACAGACATACCCCTAAACAATGGCAGTTGATAACGTGGCAGTTTGCTCCTGAATATAGCAGCAAACCATGCTGCTGTATTTTGCCAACCTACTGAGCATCATATGGTCTGCAGGCAGTCTCCATGCTGTTAGTGTTCATTTCACTCTAATCAGTAACTCATGGGGTTCCTCTCAGCTGTTTTTTCTCTCCATTGATAGCTAAGCATTTGGTGCCCATTTGCCTACACTGTATGTAGAAGAGACTAAAAGGAGAGAGTTGCAAGGCTATTCTAGATGAGTAATTCCACATATGACTCAGAAATGATTTCTTACACTCTTCCAATGCTTCCTTACTATATTTTATTGAAAGAAGGCATAGACACTGCTGTCTGATGAAGAAGACCAATACAGTGGGACAGGAAGCACTCCCCAGGACAGAACTGGTGCACATTGGGGGGGGGGGGTTTCTCTTGGATCCACAGCTCCTGCTCAAAGAGCAGGTGCCAGCTGTGGCCTATGGTGCCTCTGCCCAGATTTTTCTGGTGTGTTAATTGTGCTCTTTCTTTTCCTGGAATAAGAATCCCTTTTCACAGGGATTCATGCTTTAGCCACCTCATGTATGGACTATTGCAATGGGTTGTACACGGGGCTGTCCCTGAAGACCATTCAGAAGCTGCTTCTGGTCCAGATGCAGTGGTGCAGGTATTTATGGGCACACCTGGGTACACCCATGTAAAAACCTCTGCTGCATGAGCCGCACTGGTTACCACTAAGCATTTAGCGGGTGCATTTAGTGGGTGCTGGTTGTGACCTTTAAAACCCTTCATGGAATTGAGCCTGGCTATCTGATGGACTGCCTTTCTCCCACTGTTCCTGCCAATCTGGTAAGATCTGACAAAGTGGGCATGTACCAGGTCCCGTCTTTAAAATAGCATGATCTGATGGGACTCAGGTGGCATGCCTTCTCTGTCATAGTGCCTCCTCTCTGGAATAGTTTCCCCAACTCTGCCACCCTTTAAACGGGCCTTGAACACCTAGCTTTCGAAACCCAGGAAATAGGTAGGAAAGGGTGTGCCATTGTCAGGAATTTTACTGAATTGTTTGGCATTTTATTCCCTGGTTATGGATTGTTTTTACTGTGCACCAAATTTGCTAGGAGTAAGGCAGCCTATAAGTTTGATCTGTAAACAAATTGTAAGAATCTGCAAGGCTCAGTTCCCAACGAAAGCAATTCCCATTGAAACCGATGTCGGTTCAAAGAAGTATTCATTTATTGAGGACTAGTGTACAGTTTTAAAGCATTGCTGAAACTAAAGGCCCCCGCACGCCAAACTCACTTTTAACCCCTTTCCCTTTCACCTCCCCCTCTTCTATCCCATAAAGCCTTTTGCGCATGCCACTGAGTGTCTCCTGGTCTCATGCTGGTACAACTTTGGGCATTCGTGAGAAACAGATAACAGTCCATCTGTGCCTAACAGTTCACCTTCTAGCTCTCCCCTCCCACCACTTCTCTTGTAATGGCAGAAATGAAGCAAGCAAACTAGCAGGATGGTTAGTTGATTGCGAGGCTTCTGACACAAATAAATATTCATATAATGCCACATTCAGTAGAAACAGCATTAAACCATCTCAGCAATTCTAATTTTTAACTTTAGTAATATGGATGAATTATAATCTAAAGCAGAGGTGGGTAACTATTAATTTTCTTCTACCTACATTGGTATACAGGACATTGATGTGCCCAAACCTTTAACAAGTAAATTTGAATTTTGAATAACAGTTTGCCTTCTCAGATGGTATTGACACAAATAATATATGTTAGATTTTATTTATTAGGGAACATTAAAAAATTTAGTCTGATTATGCTCAAATGTCTATTATAGAATGTTCTGTTTCGCAGAGGCAAAGGGAGAAATGGATCAAGGTATGAAAATACATTAAAACATCCTATGGTATAAAGCAGGGGCTTGGGCTTTGGTTTTTCTCACAACCATTGTGCTTAAAAAGAGACAGTGGATTAAGCTGACAAGGGGGGGAGGGGGAAACAGGATTACCTCAAAGCAACAGTCTTTCCATTCCTGTGTGTGCACATCACCTGCCTGGTCTGATATCCAATTTGTATGTCCCAATATTTGTTCTCCTGTCTGTTCTGCCTGTTCCGATTCCTCTTCTTCTTAATTAACTCCCGGGCTTCTGGATCCCGAATGTTTTTCTCTTTCTCCTTCTCCTTGTTCTTCCCACGCTTCCTTGCCTGTCTGATGTGCCGCAAGTGAGGAACTGAACAGGTACTCCATGGCCCGACATTCAGGCTATACAGGTTTTCTTCAGTGGCACATGGGGGTGAGCTGCAAGCCTGAAAGTCTGTCAAGTTGGGACAGGCAGAGCCCCCATACCGAGGGGGAGCAACAATATGGCGAAAACGGTAGGACAGCCCTTTGCCACAGCTCTTAGAACACTCTGTCCAGGCTGAGAACTCAGATACAATGCAGTCCTGCCGACAAGGGATGAGGCATCCCTGCTCTAGCTGAGGTTTTGGCTCAAAGTATTCACATATCGTGTCCTCAACTATCACACCATTTGATTTTTGGGCACAAATAATATCTCTTCTCTGAATTCCTTCTTCTCCCTTCACACAAACTGTTGCTTTTTCAATGCTCTTTGAAAGAATTGGCTGACACTGGTTCCAGCTGCCCAGCTGCCAGTCATACAGTTCCTTGTGCCAGTCGCAAACTCTGAAGCAATTCTGTTGGTTGTCAGGTCTCTCTGCCTGCTTGCAATTTGTGAAGAGTGTGGTCCATCCTTCCACATGAGCACACCATATAGCTCGAGTTTGGATACCTCCTGGGCCACATTCATCTCCCATACACCTGCCCCATGGACCTAGAAGAAATGGAAGAAGAAATGGGAGACTGACATATCTTATACCCAATAATTGAGACCTGAGTAGAAAGGCAAAGCAGTCAGAAGTATAACGTTCCCAGAATCTGCATCTTATTCAAGGTTACTTGCATCTTACACTGTACAGTGAAAAAAACTATTACATGAATGTAGTTCAGTCCATCTGGTTGGTTGGTTCTCTCTCTCTCTCTCTCTCTCTTTCTATGGATTAAGAAAACATTTGGTGTTTTTTTTTCTTTTAAAGTTGAATGAATGAAATATTTTAGGAGTCAGCAACACCGGCAGACATCAACAATGACTTTGTGTGTGACTTTATGGGTACCAAATAAATATAAATGATTATATAATCTCTCTCTCTCTCTCTCTCTCTCTCACACACACACACACACACACAGAGCAAGGTTTCATCATGTATTGTATGTTGTTACCTGAAATGTGTTGAGGTCTTATGTAGGAACACAGAGATTCTATAAGATTAAAGAATCACATGAAATTTTGAGCCATTATTATTGAGATTATTATTGTTGTTGTTATTGTTATTTTGGAAGTTAGTCGGTGCCATCTAGTGGTCTTGCTTATTTGCAGTTCTTGAACTGCTGCAAGTATTCATTGGTCTTCAACAAGTCTATAGATCATGGACTGGCGCACATTTTAATGCAAACTTGGAATACAGACATTAAGGAAACAGAGGATTCAATTACCGTGCTGTGTATCAGAGTTTTTAAGCACATACTCAGCTACTGAAGAAAAAGACACCAGAGTCAAAGAATCTCTTTTGCTGAGATTCTTAAAACCATCACATCCTTGAGAACAATGTCAGCTGATAGTGACAGATTCAGCACTTGAACATTCCTGTGTGTTTGGGGCAGATTAAACTTGAATTACGGTTTTCAAAATTTAGCCAGATACCCAGCAAAATCAATGTATGCTTTATGTACAAATTTATTTCAGGACAATTACCCTAGTTTATTTCAAATTGAACTTCTACAAATAGCATGACTGTTGCTCTGTTTATTCCATTTTGTACATGTTTATTTTATGTACAGTGGGACTACAAAGTCCTAGGAGGGACAGTAATTTCCTACAGAATTTTACTGAACAGTGCTACCCAAATTTTTAAGGAAAAAATATATTAAAAAAAAATCTTCAGAAAATTATCTTGAAAAGTAAAAGCTGAACACAAAAGCTAAATTCCTTTCATGCTACAAGCCTCTGTCTTAGCACATTTTTACACCTTTTGCACACATTTTAACCAGACCTTCTTTAACAGACTGTTGCCAATCTACTCTAGATAATAGGTTGTAGCTTTTGTGCATCAGAATTTTCAAGTGACCCAACCCACACTCAAAAGGGAGTACAGCTTCTTGGCAGCTTAAAACTTGTCAGCCCCCAAACCGAATCTGGGTAAACCAATAAATGACATTATGGCATGTTGCAAGACCTAAGAGCAAGAAAGAAGATGCTTTCCAGTGATGAGCTGCAAAAGATAATAAATGGTTTTAGCTGTGGCTCTGATGGCACCTCAGGCTTATCATAGGTTTAAGAGGTCCATAAAACATATTACAAATGCAGCATGTTCAGAAGCTAGCGGGGGTTTTGATAGAGTATTTTACAATCCAGTCTTATGAGCTGTGGCTGAGCTTAAGCAGGAGATTGTAAAAAAGAATTAGTTAGAGGAACAGAGAAGCAACTGGAGGAATTAGAATTCAAGAGAAGAAAAGTAGTTTAGTGGTAAGGAATGACAATGATCCCCAGTTAAATCTCCAATATCTCAAGATTAGAGTGGCAAATATTCACATCTGAAGTCCTACTAAGTTTTTTTCTCAGATGTTTGGAATGACAATTAGCAGAATTCTCAGTGAGTTGGCTGGTACAGAGCATCCTGAGGTAGGATAGCACATTATTCCAAAGGCCAAGTGCCACAAAAGAGAAGGCACATCTTCCAGGCCCCTTCAGATGGTATTGCTTAATAGATGGGATCTGGAGCATTCCACAGCTAAAACCACTCATCATCTTGGGCAGAAACAATGGCAGAAAGGCAGTCCCTCAGACAGACAGCCCCTATGCTATGAAGAGTTTTGCAGGTAAAACCAGCACCTTGAATCACACCTGGAAGCTTGCACAGCAGAAATGTTACATGTGTGTATCAAGACCCACTCATAATGGCTTGTATTACCACATATTGGACTATATGTAGTGTCTGAATAGTCTTCACAGGCATGACACATGTACACATTGAAATGTAGTCCACGTGATACAATTAAGATGTGAATATGGGAAAAGAGACTTCCAGCCCAGGAAGGAGCACAAATGCTGAACTGGACATATCTGGGCAAAGGCTCTCCTAGCCACAGCTACCACTTGCAGGAACTGCAAGTCCAGGAGAACACCCAAGTGGTATGCCAGTTGTCTGGGAGAATGTGACTCCATTCAGAATTAAAGATGGAAAATCCATGGTAGCAGAAGAATCAGGAACACACAACCACTTAGTCTTGTCAGAACTGAGTTTAAGCCTGTTCCTCCGCATCTAAACCCTAACAGCATCCAGATATTGGAACAAGACCTGGACTTGGTTGACCTGGGATTAAAATATACATGTGGGTATCAGCAGCATATTGATGATACTTGATCCCATGTCAATAAATTATTTCACCTAGTGGCTTCATGTAGATTTTAAACAGTAGGGGCAGGAGCATATGGTATCCCACCAGTGGTATCCCACCAGTCCCCACCACAAACACCAATTGGAACTGGCCATGGAGAAAGGAAAACCACTGCAATACTGTGCCTCCCACTACCAATCCCTACAATCAGTTCAGAAGGATACCATGATAGTTTCAAAAGCTCCTGAGAGAGCAAGGATAGTCAGGACAGTAACACCCTCATCCTGGCCCCAGCAGAACTCATCAACAAGTACAATCAATGTTGTCTCCGTACTGTGTTTCAGCCTGAGGCCCAACTGAAAAGAGTCCAGATAAGCCATTTCCTCAGGGTCCTCTGATGCTGCAACCCAACCACTTTCTCACAAAACAGGGAAGGTGAAGCTAATGAAAAATGCCCAGAACTGTTGGCGCCATCAATGGCTTCTTGAGGAGGGTGCACAGTACTGCCTCCTTCAAGGCAGGCAGCAACACCCACTCAAGGATGCATTCACCATCTCATGGACCCAACCACATGTCACCTCCTGGGAAATCTTAACTAGCCATAGTTAACCATGGATCTAAAGGACAGGTGACTGGGTTAACAGTCTCAAGGACCCTGTCCACTTTCTTGGTAATCTAGTTCTGAAAACTAGTTATTGTGTTCCTCTCCTTCCCTATCAGTGAACAGATCACCTTAAGCAGAGCTGCTGGCCAGCTATCCATGGATATAATATGATGGAAAAACTGATATATTTTGCTATTGTTGTTGTTGTTGGTAGCACAGTCAGCCAGATGTTTAGGGTGGATTTGGCATTTTTATCCACCAATCAAGTCCTTCCCAATGACCTGGGATAAGCAGATGTTGTTTGATGGTGTTAAAGGTATCGTCACAGGATGTAAG